ACGACACAAACATGTATGATAGCATGTGGGCCGGGTTGGAGGGCAGGATTTGATAATCCAGCACCCTTGTTTATCCAGCAGAAAATGCCGTTGCAAAAGGTGCCGGATTAGAGAGGGACGACTGTACATGCATTTACCATAGAAATCTGCAGTTCCAGAGCAGCAGGTAGTAGATATTGTGCAAACTGTGTGGTGAACATTAGTCCATGAGTAGAGAGAGTCCAAATGCCCCACCAATCAATATACCTGAGAAAAAAAAAGACTGCCACTAGGTTCAATCAGGGTTGTATCATGTGATTTAAGGCCCTTGGTGTGGAATTTTTAGGAGATGAAGAATACTCGAATATTCGATCGGAGAAAATCAGAGTACTGTAAAAGCCATTATTCTAACGAGGCGCATATATAACGATATCCCAAAATTGACTAGTTTACGTGTACCAAATGTAACGATTCTCACTCATTCTCAACGCTCAATAGGACAGTACAGTCAGACCTCGCTTATCTGGTCCTCTTTTATCCGGATACCTCGCAATCCGGAAGAAAATAGCTGGTTACAGATTTACAGCATGTGTAATGCATCCAACATAACCGCTGTTCGGTTATCCGGTTCCCTCGCCTATCCGGATATTTTTGTGGAAAACGGATGTGTGCGGTTAAGCGAGGCCTGACTGTATATGTATCGATTTCTGTATAACGATTTCTATTTTAACCCTTTATGTACGGAAAAAATGTACGTAGACTGAATTTGATCTCGACTCTCCTCAAATTCCAAAATTCTCCGGGTCATAACTTTGGTCTCCTTTTGACGATTTTTTCAATATTGGGCTTCATGGAAAGCTCGTCGCAAGAGAAACACAATGTGCCCACACTTGCCACCAAGAAGGTCAAAACACCAGCGCTACAGCCCAGCGTCTTAGCTCCAACGCCAATATTCCGACAGAAATCGTCTTGTATCAGCCATTTCGCTCTCCTTGCTTGTAACAACTAGTGTCACTTCAAAAAATTCACAAACTGCCACGAGTCCGCTTGCCATTTTGAACGTGTTTCTACGTCACTGCATGTCCAGAATGATGGGGAAATCCCTCATTCAAATCTGCACACGCGGCTATTGAGCGACATTTGTCGTGATTTGACTTTCAAGCTTCGTAACTCTGGAGCTGCACATCAGAGCGCTTCAGCGATTGTTTCAATGGACAGCTGGCAGTTATTTCTTCGACCTACATATTTTAGTTTCTGGAAATAAGTAAAAAGAAAAAGAAATGGCTGAGTTATGATCGATTGAAATTTTGAAAAGTTTCGATCCCAGGGGATCACTTCGTTATGTATGGCTTTTACAGTACTCGAACTCGGGATCTCAACGCCAACTTTCACCCCTAATTATTGTTATACTGTAAAACCGGGAATTTTCGGTGGTGTAATATTTAATATTTTCGGTATTTCCCGAAATCAACGGTTCGGTAGCGCAAAAATTTCGGTAAACCAGTTTTCCAGAGCCAAAATGCATTTTGCACACTGTGTGGCATGGTATCGTTGAATTTTAGGTAAAAATTACCTGTACCGAAGTTACCGAAAATAAATTCCGATTTTACAGTACACTCAAACGTCTCTCATCCGGACGCCTCAGATACGGGCACGTCTCTCTACCGGGCACCTTCAGCTTGAGTTTGTATGGCAAAAATGCTTCGAATTTGGGGGTTTGAACTTTTTTTCGTATGTGCAAGTGCTTATTTGTCACTGCCAACCTGTGTAATCCACACATTTTTATCAATGGATTATTTTTGCAACCTGAACATGTGCAATATGTGCCAAATAATCTTCTTCTTCAAAAAAGAAAAAGAAAAAATACATTGTAGATGAGTTATCCTGAGATACGGGCAAACCTGAAATACGGGCAGTGCCCGGTCCCAAGGTGCCCGGATAAGAGACGTCCGAGTGTAGTTGTTTATAGTCGAACTTTCTGAAAGTCTTGGAGCGAAAGCTGATCTGTTCCCGAAAAAAGTTTCTTATCACACTGCAGTACTGGAAAAAGTACTGTTTGTAGTGGCGTAAATGTGTGTACAATTCGCTGTTTTGTCTACTTACCAGTTGTACAAAGAAGTTGTGTCATTCCATTGTTTGGCTACAACTGCCATCCAATCTAGAAACAAGTTTTCGGAATGCAAAACCTACCTGCATTCGAGTATGGCTAAGCAACTTCCGGAAATATTTGCAAAAACTGTGTATGCAATTCAGGATGCAAAACCTCTCTAAAATTATTACTCAATCTGCGGACAGAACTGTTTTATCCTTTGTGGACGAATCTACAATTACTATATATTTTTCTTCAGACTTTTCCCCGTTTGCGTCTTTCCCTCAAACCAGTGAACAATAAGAATAATTATTCCCGTAGCTATGCAGAAGACGTTACTTCAGTAACGTCTGGCGCTAGCCAGGGTCCACACAGCTTTAATTTGGTGTTTGTTTGTGTGTTTGTTTGTTTGTGTCACGCCTGGCGCTATCCCGTATCTGTCCCGTACTGTACCGTACCAGCAAAGACAGCTGGCCACAATATTTTTGTTTGTTTGTGCCATCGACATGTCTGGCGCTATCCCGTACCTGTCCCGTACCATCAAGAGTACGGTACCATGAAGGGAATGAGTATATATGCGAAGTGTATCGGGGGAATGCATTCAGTGCAGTAACATTTTGTGTGGATTTGTGTGCGAGGCCGAGATCCCACTAGCAGGCTGGCTGGGCCGCCTGTCGACCAGCCCGGGAATCGCATGTACGCCGATACCATAATAATTATAACGTATATACAGTCATGTAGATGTATAGCAGGGAGTCATAATATGTAAACGACTCCCTGCTGTATGGGGAGATTTTCTGGAAAAAAATACGAAGTAGGGAGACGAGTAAATGCAATCAGAATGGATGTTAGTTGCCGTCAGTATAGTAATGATAAGAAGAAGAACGCCCGTGATCGGCAGAGTCAGCGCCGGTCCCAGGAAACGTCAGGACAGACATCCCGTCCACTTCAGAACGCCCGTGATCGGCAGGGTCAGCTATGCAGAAGGCGTTACTTCAGTATCTCATTGAAACGTTTTTGCAATACAATGATGTAGCTAATCAAAGGAAAAAGCATTTTCATCAGTTCTAACAACATGCACGATGAGCTAGGCAACAAGCATAGCGCAGGGCCCTGAGCTTCAAAGCTCTCTCGTTCCCGTAGCTATGCAGAAGACGTTACTTCAGTAACGTCTGGCGCTAGCCAGGGTCCACACAGCTTTAATTTGGTATTTGTTTGTTTGTGTGTTTGTTTGTTTGTTTGTGTCACGCCAGGCGCTATCCGTATCTGACGGCAAAAAAGCATAGGATGTTATACATTTTTCAATTCTCCTGTTTTTTTTTTCAGGCATATCCTGGGATTCGAACCCGCACTATCGCCCTACATGCATTCCCCCATACACTTCGCATTCATACCCATTCTTCCAAGTTGCTTCACGTTATTATCTTGCGTTTGAAAGCCCTATTTGAATATTGCGGGCAGCTGTATGTGGCCAGCTGTGTTTGATGGTACGGTACGGTACGGGAGACGGTGTCGTATTACCCTCGATCGTACCTGTCCCGTACCTATCCCCTACCGTACCGTGCCATCAAAGACAGCTGGCCACAATGCATATTCAAATAGGGCTTTCAAAATGACAAATGCAAGATCACAATGTGAAACAACTTGGAAGAATTAGTATGTATGCGAAGTGTATCGGGGGATGCATGCAGGGCGCGCGATAGTGCGGGTTCGAATCCCAGGTTATGTCTTAAAAAAAAGGAGTTTTTTAAAGAAATTATGACATCCCTATGCTTTTTTTTGTCTAGGTCATCAAGGCAAAAAAGCATAGCGTAGGGCCCTGAGCTTCCAAGCTCTCTCGTTTATTCCCGTAGCTTTGCAGAAGACGTTACTTCAGTAACGTCTGGCGCTAGCCAGGGTCCACACAGCTTTAATTTGGTGTTTGTTTGTGTGTTTGTGTCACGCCTGGCGCTATCCCGTATCTGTCCCGTACCGTACCGTACCATCAAACACAGCTGGCCACATACAGCTGGCCGCAATATTCAAATAGGGCTTTCAACCGCAAGATCATAATGTGAAGCAACTTGGAAGAATGAGTATGAATGCGAAGTGTATGGGGGAATGCGTGTAGGGCGATAGTGCGGGTTCGAATCCCAGGTAATGCCTGAAAAAAATAGGAGAATTGAAAAATTTATAACATCCCTTTTCTTTTTTTGCCGTCATCAAGGCGGTAGACGGTGTCGTATTACCCTCGACCGTACCTGTCCCGTACCTGTCCCGTACCTGTCCCATACCTATCCCGTACTGTACCGTACAATCAAAGAAGGCTGGCCACAATGCATATTCAAATACGGCTTTCAAATACAAGATCATAACGTGAAGCAACTTGGAAGAATTAGTATGTATGCGAAGTGTATCGGGGGATGCATGCAGGGCGATAGTGCGGGTTCGAATCCCAGGTTATGTTTAAAAACAAAAAGTAGAAACTTATAAGAATTTAACATCCCTATGCTTTTTTTTTGTCTAGGTCATCAAGGCAAAAAAGCATAGCGTAGGGCCCTGAGCTTCCAAGCTCTCTCGTTCTTATTTTACTAGGGAATTCCCAACAGGCGTCGACGCCTTTTTACAGGGAACCAAGGAGACAACGAGATGCGCTTTGGTTCTCTGAGCTGCGTGGAAGAGCCCTAATAGGGTGGAGCAGTTGCTGTCTATAGAGTATAGATACCGTATGAGTGGTGTTTAGGAACTGAAGATCCGGAGTACCGGTATGTGACACTGGTACGGTGTTGGGTGGCACTTGATGTGCTTTATTGTAGCACAGACTATGGCACGCAAGCCGATGCAGTGGATGTTACACTCCAAGCTGTTAGTTCAGTTACTGTGCCATACCAGGATTGAGCTTTATTGTAAGATATTGCAATTGGTATTTTTTCTTGAATCCCTTGCTCTTTAGCGGCGACAGAGCGCAATGCTAACTATACCAAGCACAGTGGTGAGCGGCTGAGAGGCATTCCGTATTGCTTCTACCCCTCAACATTCGGCTATAAGATATCCAATGTCAAGCAGGATGACTCCGGCTGGAGTGCTGATCTATCCCTGGCATCGAATGGTGGGCCGTATGGCGCTGATGTCAAACAACTGAGGATTGTCGTCTATTTTGAAGATGAGGATCGGCTGCATTTCAAGGTCAGTGCTGTGTAGGCTGCTTAATTGGCTATCACTCAGCTGTCTTGGCTTACCCAGACTCAGTAGCTGGTTTGAGCCCCATAGCAGGTCCGTTCCCCCGTTGCGCACCAAGTCACGTGTGTTTGTATGTGTGTGTATGTGTGTGTGTGTGTGTGTGTGTGTGTGTGTGCGCGTGCGTGTGTGTGTGTGTGTGTGCATGTGTGTGCGTGTGTGTGTGCATGAGTGTGTCTGTGTTCGTTGTGTATTCATATCAGATTTTCGATCCTGCCAACAGCCGCTACGAAGTGCCCATACCCGTTCCAGCGCCCCCGGCCGGGAAAATCCCACAGGTGAATTACATTGTCAAGTACTCGGAGTACCCGTTTGGCCTGCAGGTCATCCGTGCCACTGATCACACAACAATGTGAGTGCACATAACTCAGTTTTCTCTAAGTCAATTCGGCGCATACTTTTTCGGCTATTTTCGGCCTGGTCATGTTTGGGCGGAAATTTTGTTGCGGCAGAAGTTTTGCAAGGTTCAGTGTGACAGTGTGTGCAGGCCGAAAATTTGATGCGGTCGAAATGGGTTTTAGCTCTGGGGCGCTGAAATTTGAATGAGCCGAAAATTTGTAGACTTACAGTACCTAAGCACATGCAGCTGAACAGCATGGTCAGTGCTGTGTGCATGAACTTATGCATACAGTATACATGATTATACAGGTATGATTGTAGATCAACCGATGTGTGAGAAAAAAATTCTCTTAACAGGATCAATTTTAAAATTCTAAATTTTGAAGTTCATTTTCGCATTTTTCAGCTTCTAATACAGCTTTTGTGCATCTGTACAACATGCATACCCCGGTAAGGCTTATTGTGCAAGAAAGGGAAAACGAGAACCTACTGCAAACCGCCCAATATTCGCGCCACTAATTTTTCACTATTTCTCAGAACGAGCGAGTTCACGATGGAAAATGTTCGCGGAGCACTGTGGCCGCGCACATAAACCTGCTGTTGAAGTTTGATTTCACGATGCTCTTCTCGCGAAAATTAATACACCGTAAACGTTGGGCAGTTTACTGTAATAATAAAAAATTAATACTATGTCTTCGTAGAGAAAGCTTCAAAACACAACACAACATTTAGGGAATGCAGCATAAGAATGCACAGCATTGAATGCATTTAGATCTTGAAGGGGTAGTCGTATGGCCACTCATGACATCTGCCACGAGATGTAAGCGGTGATTGCTCAATCACAAAAGTGTCCGGGTCCTTGTAGGACAAGCCACGGGTTTACACACATCAAGGGGCAACTTCTGACTTTTAATGGTTGCTCAGTACATGCCGGTATTCGTTTTCATGACGAGTCAGACTCAGGGCATGACAAAGTCATATATTCGTTCCGTGCCAATTTTCGTCCGCTCATTGTACCAAACAAAGTCAACGAAAGCTACTTCCAAACAGAAGTCTCCACCTATACAGTATCCGTGCGCCATTTTCCCGGAGCCGCATTTCCATATAGCTTATGTTGTGTATGTGTCCCCTTCTTGTTTGCATGCATTTTTGTTTGTCAGTTTCAACAGCAGTGTTGGAGGCATGATCTTTGAGGATCAGTTCCTGCAGATTTCGTCACTGCTGCCATCGTCCAACCTGTATGGGCTCGGTGAGCATGTTGCGCCCATGCTACTCGATCTTGATTATCAAACCATCTCTCTCATGGCACGGGACAGAGGCACGCCACATGTAAGTTGCGGATAATGGTAATGAATAATGATGATGAAACTTTGAACTTTCCAGGCGTTTTTATTTTCATCTTCGCTCGTCTTTGCGAACATTAGTTTTGGGCATTGTTACGAATGCATGTATCAGGGTATGCACACACGAATAGCTGAATGGCTATTAGGCCCTCAAGCTGGCTTGCTAGATCACAGGAGGTGGTTACGTCCATTCCTCCGAGGCGATATGATTATAGGTGTGCCAGCTGGGCATGGGGAGTAGTAAGGTGCAGGTGGTTGGTGATTGTATGTGTGTGTGGGGGGGGGGGGGGGGGGGGGGGAGACCTGCATCGCTGGCTACAAGCGAGGGTCCCTGGTTCGAGTCCTGGTGGTGACAGTCAATTTTTTCTTCAGACCTTTCCCGTTTGTCTCTTTCCCTCAAACCAGTTAATAATAATAATAATAATAATAATAATTTTTTCTCTTTTCAGGCAGTTCACTTCCCCGACTGATACTTTGAATTTGAAGTTCTCCCAATCCTTTCCAAATAATAATAATAATAATAATAATAATTTAATATGACATTTATTTGGTAACATGGCAATCTGGGGGGGTATTGATTAAAACATCTTTGACGGGATGGTAGGTTTGCACAGCTTTTGGCACTGTTGAAGCTAGGAAAGTCAACTTGCTTCTGAGACCTTACATGCTTGCACAGCATGTCGCTTTAGCCTGTGACTGGGCTTTGGAAGCAAAACCCCATAACTCCTCCATCAATCGTCACCAGTGGTACTAGAGAATGCCACATGCAAGTCAGATGAATGCAATATATCTGTAGTGGCTCCGGCAATCTTTTCCAACCTTTCCGGGGTTGATGTGGTAAAATGTTTGGACTCGAATGGAGAGCCAAGGATAAATTTCTGGAAAAGAAAAAGGACCAAGGAACTACGAGTTACACAAATTACGCTATAATGTCCACTAACACCACCAGTTACTAAACAATCAGCTCATGCGATAACATTGCACGACACTGACCGACGGTACTGACGTTCTACAACTAACTGGCTATCAGCTCTAGTACGTCTTGGATGCGCACTCCAGCAGCCTTCCAAGTTGGAAGGTTCTAAGTTATGTGATAACATAGTGCCGTCGGTCAGTGTCGTGCAATGTTATCGCATGAGCTGATTGTTTAGTAACTGGTGGTGTTAGTGGACATTATAGCGTAACTTGTAGTTCCTTGGTCCTTTCTCTTTTCTATAAAAAGATTTTTTTAAATCTTATTTCACTACATTCTTGGTGTTCTGTAATGTTCTGACTTTGCTCGCAGAGTGAAAACCTCAATCTCTATGGAGTCCACCCGTTCTACTTGAACGTAGAGAAATCCGGTCATGCCAACGGCGTGCTCTTCTTAAACAGCAATCCCATGGGTGAGCCCCACTGTGTCAAGCCTCATTCATACTTCGCCTTGTGTGTACGGGAAACGCATAGCATCGTTAAAAAGTTGACTCGAGCTCAACTTGCTTGGCCCATCGCGCCATGTGTTTCCCGTACGGGAAATGAAGCATGAATCAGGTTTTTTGTACAGGGTAGTGAGACCTGTGTTTTGTGTTGTGTGCTGGACGACCTAAGTGTCCATTATCAAAGTACATGTAGCGCATACGTTGTCCAGTAGTAGCAGGATGATGTTAGCTCTGTCGTCTGTAGTTCATGAGCTCCAAGTCGGGAGACTTCCGTTTAGTTTTTGTCTACTTTTAGCCAACTCTACCCGGGTCAAGAATTCAACACAGCTGCAGTTCACAATGTCCAGTACATTGCACAGTTTGCACACAGGAAAGGCTGAGATTTGAGCGCAGAAAATCAGCCCGTGATCCTCGATCCTCTAGACCGAATTTTGATGCGGACGAAAACTTCTCAGCAATGATTTATATGAGTGGACACCGACCGTGACTACTTGGTTTTCACTGCACTGTCCCTGTAGAACATGCCCCTATCTCAGGTGGTTGTTGGAAATTTGCTACCGGTAGTTTGAATTGTGCGGTGAGAACAATCACCTTCTTGATTTCTAAGAGAGTATTGTACTGTGATGAAGTTGGTTCAAAGTTCGTATTGTACTGTGTTGTGAATTTTGTTCTCCAAAGATATTGCATTGCAGCCTACTCCAGCCATAACCTATCGTTCCATTGGTGGAATTATGGATTTCTATGTGTTCATGGGATCGAGTCCAAACGAAGTTGTCCAGCAGTATCTTGAGGTGAGCTACAATCAAGCACTTTCTTGCGTGACATATGAAAAACACCTGAGCCACGCGCGCGCACGCACACACACACACACACACACACACACACACACACACACACACACACACACACACACACACACACACACAATAAAGCACTGTGGACCCAGGGTATGCCAGACGTCACTACGTACTGCCTTTTGCATAGCTTCGGAAATAAAGGCCAGAAAAAGCCACTTCATAGCTGTGTAGTGTAGACCAGGCTGAATAGTGGCGGTCAATTCATCAGCCTTGCAAGCTGTTGAATGGTGCAATGGCCAGAAAAAGCCACTTTATAGCTGTGTAGTGTAGACCAGGCTGAATAGTGGCGGTCAATTCATCAGCCTTGCAAGCTGTTGAATGGTGCAATCCCAGCACAAGTTGCTATGGCTTCTGCCGGAGCATCGCTATCATCGCCTCCGGCGATGTGCGTCAAAGGTCAAAAGGTGTGCGTGTGTGTGTGTGCGTGCGTGCGTGCGTGCGTGCGTGTGTGTGTGTGTGTGTGTGTGTGTGTGTGTGTGTGTGTGTGTGTGTGTGTCTATATGACTGTGTATTCTTGTTTTGCTTGGCAGGTGGTTGGATTGCCGTACATGCCGCCTTACTGGTCGCTTGGCTTTCACCTGTGCCGATGGGGCTACGACAACGCCACTCACACTGCCCAGGTTGTCAATGACATGAGAAAGATGGGTATTCCCCAGGTAAGGTGCTATTACCCGGCTAGCTATTGATCTGCTCCTTGATCCTAGATGGTGACGATGTTCCTACGGATGCGCAAAACTCAGTCTCTGAGTTTCACGCGAGCCGTGAAGTTTTAACTATTGGCTGATTGTGACAATAGTGTACATTACGATAATGACTGGTTGGGTTGACCAGACAGCGCATTGCAGCAGGCGGGTAGTTGATCGCTTGCTTCGCCACTGTGTCGCACTATGGCAGAGCCACTTTCCCTCCAAAGGGCACGGAGTCCACAGCGCGCGCGCGCTCGAAGCCCTGTCGACCCTTTACGTCGTACAAGTATGACACGAAAAGAGGCACCATTCTTGCTCAACTAGCAAGGTTTTTACTAACTTTTTAGCTCTCTTGCAGGCCAAAGCGCGTGCACTTCAAGCTCCAAAGGTTACAACGCTGACACATGTACTAAACTGTCCCCGGGGAAAATTGCGATTCCGCGGCCGCGTTTTTTCCGCGTTTTTTGCGATTTTTTAAAAGACCGCGTTTTCCGCGATTTTCCCGCGTTTTTTGAACTTTTTTGTTGCACTACACGTACACACAGTGCACTGTTCGGTCAGCAACGTCTCATCGTGGCGGCTTTTTACTCAAATATGACGAGTGATTACACCAGAGACTTGTAACTGATTGATTTCACTACATACTCACTGAAAATTGCCGCATTCACCGCATATTTACCGCAAATTCACCGCAAATTATGCCATATTATGCCGCGTTTTTCCCCGCGTTTTTTGCGATTTTTTTTCCGCAATTTTCCCCGGGGACAGACTAAAGTTGTCGTCGTACGACAACACTTGATGGCTACTGCCACGAGTTGTAAGCCATGATTGCTCAACTAACGAAAGTGTCAGATCTCTCGCAGGACAAATCATGATTTCTTACAGAACTCTAGTATTTTTCTGAGGCCAGCTTCTGCATGGTCGTTTTCACGACAAGTCTGACCCAGGGTATGATATACATGTACTTACTATGTGTGGGTGTTGCAGGACGTACAGTGGAACGATATTGACTACATGGACCGGCATCTTGACTTCACTTATGACAAGACACGCTATAGCTCTCTGCCAGATCTTGTTGATGACCTGCACAAGCATGGACAGCGCTATGTCATGATTACTGTAAGAGTTGCTGCTGCTGCTGGTGGTATTGCTGCTGGTATTGCTGCTGGTATTGCTGCTACTGCTGCTGGTACTACTGGTACTGATGCTGCTGCTGCTGTTGCTGTTGCTCTTGCTGCTGCTGTTGCTGTTGCTCTTGCTGCTGCTGTTTATGCTGGTGCTGCTGCTACTGGCACTGGTGCTGCTGCTGTCTGTATTTCTAGGAGCCAGTAACCAGAACTTGATGAAGGCAGTAGATACTAATTAGTATCCTAAATGTATTTGCAGGGGCTCTGACACGATCTGTTATTTGCAATATCTTGCAGCTTGGTTAGGTGTGACTGTCCTTGGAAAGGTCATGAATTCTGAAAAGCAAGTCGTTCCAGCTTCCATGGTTGCTAAAAACAGTTCTAGGCAAATCTCTAAAAGATGGGCATACTGTAATGCTCCTATTTTGTGCAATCTCTGTGGAGAAATTCTACAACCTGACATAGTTTTGAAACATGGAGGGCATTGGTGTTGATAGGCATTTGAAGATGACTGATGTGCTGGTATGCTGGTGTGCTGTTGTGCTGCTGCACTTTAGGATCCTGGCATTAGCAGTACGCAGTCAGCTGGCTCATACTTGCCATTCGACGATGGTCTGAAGATGGATGTGTTCCTGAAGAATTCCTCTAATCAGCCCATAATTGGCCGTGTAAGTTACGTTAGTTCGATTTGCATCTCCTTCTACTACCTCCGACAAGCGAAACTTGGCGCGTTTTTTTGATTTTTTTGTGTTGGTAACAAAACTACTTCACAAGGCTGTGAGGTACGACCTACTTGTAGCTCTATGCAACCGGGTGCAGGAAGCCAAGCGACGAGCTGGTGAGTGGCACATGGCTCAGACTCAGTCAAGGCAAGCGTGTCTCTCATGTACCAGCAAACTGTGGGCGCGTCCATTCTGCGAAGGAGAATTGTCGTGCTTTCGCGTTGCAATGCAAAACCAAGGAGTTCTCTCTCTCTCTCTCTCCTCTTGGTCACTCCGCCAGCACAGAGTCTATGCGTCCATGCCAAACAATACTAGCGTCTTTCAACAGCCACCAGAGCGATGCGTCTCTGGTGGCTAAGGAAAATCGCCAGGAATTGCTGCAGGCAATTTTGGACAGTTGGCGAGAATACCCTGCAAAACAGTTGGAGTCCAGGCGCTTGTGGTGTTGCACAGTTCTTACCACGTCAATCTGGATAGTGGCGCCGGAAACGACTACCCTCGACACCGTGGCTCGAGCACAGCACACAGAAGCGACATCGAGATTTTCAGAGCGATTACAACAGAGGTACTTGCTGCAACTGAATCCGCTCTAGTCGCACCTTCGTCTCAAAACAGGGACAATTCCTCTCCAGAAGAAACTGCGATCTCTGAATCAGGGGAGAGTTGTTCAGCCTAACAGATGTAGACTAATGTCCTTGTTGAGCAATACAAAGTTGAATTTTGGTGAGTCAATCATTAGTTTTGATTGTAAAGTGTGAGTTATTTCGAGTAATTTGAAGTAAAAAAACGCGCCAAGTTCCGCTTGTCGGAGGTAGTAACAATTTGATACTTGAGTCACGTAGCTACCGGTATGCTGATTGTTGCTAAGACATAATAGAATTATAGTACTTCAAACAAGGGTATGCAATGTTGCAAGTTGCCTATTTGACAATGGCATTGTCCCAGGGTTAATACTAACAGTGTCTGCTCGTCTGTTTACTTCAGGTGTGGCCTGGTGAGACGGCATTTCCGGATTTCTCACATCCCAACGCAATCGAGTACTGGACCAAGCAAGTAAAAGCCTTCCATGCTGAGGTTCCGTTCGACGGCCTGTGGATTGTAAGTCTTTTCTGCGCATTGCTATTCTGACATTGCCTAGAAAGGGCTAATATACTAGTGTACATACATCTGTATGAATCAGTTTAGCATGATAGGACATTTTGAAATACACCATCTCACCCCCACCAGTTCATGGATGACTGAGAAAAGAGATGTGCCAGGGTGCAAGGGCGACCTAGCCAGGATTAGCACCATGACCAGTGCTCACTCGGCAGACAAACACCGCTAGGATTGCTGGGCTTGCAGCGTTAGCTTACTCCCTTCAGAATGCAGTTCTTTTCCCAGAGGAAAGAGGGGGGGGGGGGAGGGGGCGGCATGGTAACTTCATACTGTACTTGGTAAACGAACAGGTATGCTCAGAGGTTGCTGTCATTACCGCAGCTAAGGTAGCTCAAACGTTTCTTTTTTTCTAAAATAAAAAAATATATAAGGCCAAAACAAATAATGACCTTGTTTCCGGTCGCCCGACCGGGCCACTTTTTCCCAAATTCTGAAACTTTTTTTGGTCCCAAATGTATACAAACGGTGGCAATGCCATGTGTGCAAGTGCACTCAACGAGTCATAACTCCGTCAAATCTCAACCGAATTCCACAATCGAAACACCTACAAGGTAGCAGAGATTCTCAGCTGTCGGCTCGAAAACCTATGGGGTCGATACGAGCTAGAATAACGGAGCTGGAAGGACTCGAACTGTTTTCTTGATTTCTCAGGATGTACGAAAACAGGAATACACCACATGCTGTACAAGAACAGTGAGTCAGTCAACTTTGACATTGATCCTTGCCATGATATACATGTATGTACAATGTACATGTGTAGGTGCTCTTGTCCATCAATACCACAAAGATTGAGGAACCAAAAAAAGTATTCAAAAAAAGTTTCATTCCGGCCGACCGAGTCTCCTTTTTGAGGGGTTGCCGACCGGAAACAAGCCTATTTTTTGTTTTGGCCTAATAAAGAAGAGGTTGGTGCGACTTCGGCGATACTTGGGGAATTGTGTGTTGCTACCTACGTGGGAGCTTGCGCTAATCCTGCCGACTTGAATTCTCACGATTTAAAAAAATATATATATTTCACAGAAAAGTGAAGTTGAAGACTCAACTGTAGCTGTTCTTCTGGTTGAATCATTTGGTGGTGAAGACACACAAGACGAAACTTGGCTTTCGGACAAAATGTGTCTTTTCTGTTGTTGTGTGTATTTAGTTATTACAGAAGAATGTCAACTCATAGTTTGGGTTGTGTATGGTCAAGAGATGTTATTCACACTGGGGATACTTTGGGCAAATCTTGGTATATTTGAATTTCTTGGCCCCTTGAAATTTTGCTGTGATTTGCAATTTTCAAACCAAAATCAACAGTTTGCATTTCAGCGGACCTCCCAACACATTGAATAATCGGATCACACCACGGAACAACAAAAGAACTGGCAAACGAAGTTTCATCTTTTATAAGTCAATCGTGCAGCCTGAGGAGTACAGAACAAGAAAAGAAGCCACACCAATTTTAGGGGCCATCCATGTATGCGCGCGCGTGCGTGTGATGAAAGCCGTTACAGTGGAACCTCGGAATTCCGACCGCCTTTCGGACCTGGCTAAGTGGTGTGATTTCCGGGGTGGGTGGGGAGGGGGGTCTGATTTGCGAGAATGACCATCCTGTATATGCACGTATAGAGGAAAATTCGGCACAGAGCAAGAGTGGTCGGATTAGTGGAGTGGTCGGAAAGCGTGGTTCCACTGTATACTGTTAATTTGTTTAATGATTTGATTGAATCAGCTCCTGATTAACTATGCAAGAGTGTTGCATGTGGTATGTATTGTGTTACAGGATATGAATGAGGTATCTAACTTTGTAGTTGGCTCAGTTCAAGGCTGCCCAAACAATTCTCTGGAGAATCCGCCATACAAGCCAGGTCAGAGTCCCGTATTGAAATGCAGCTTGTGTCTGTCTGTCTGTCTGTCTGTCTGTCTGTCTGTCTGTCTGTCTGTCTGCCTGTCTGTCTGTCTGTCTGTCTGTCTGTCTGCCTGTCTGTCTGTCTGTCTGTCTGTCTGTCTGTCTGTCTGCCTATGTGCATGTGTGTGTGTGTGCCTGTGCATGTGTGTGTGTGTGTGTGTGTGTGTGTGTGTGTGTGTGTGTGGGTGTGTGTGTGTGTGCGATTGGAAATCGACTGCACATACCACTGCACCACCACTTGTTGCGGGTTCAATTCCCGACGAGTATGGTCGCACACGTCTTTCTTCTCTTTCTCGGACTCTTCCTGACTTTTCTTTCATTCTCCTGGGTGGTTACCAACAGCCAGTGTATGCCGGAGTATGTGGTGTGGTGTGTGTGTGTAGAAAAAAGAAAAAAATGGAAAATGAAAAATAGGGATTCACTGGCCAGAAAAAGTCACTTCAAACAGCTGTGTGGTGGATACCAGGCTAAAAATAGTGGCGGTCAATTCATCAGCCTTGCAAGCTGTTGAATGGTGTAATCCCAGCACAAGTTGCTATGTCTAACATAGCTGTTCGCTATCATCGCTTCCGCGATGGGCATGTCTGAGGTCTGAGGTGAGGTCTGAGGTGTGTGTGCGTGTGTGTGCGTGTGTTCGTGTATGTGTGTGTGTGTGCGTGTGCGCCAGAACCGCCCAACAACGGATGAACGTGCCAAGTTTCCACTAGTGTGTCAGCACTGCTCTCGGAGATTTCGGCAGTCCAGGGACCTGACCCGGCACCGGCGTGTTTGCTCCTCTCCCTCCTCCCGCAATGGGACCACGTAACCTTTAAGGCAGTGGGTCAACAGGACAGGACAGGTGTGCGTGTGTGCTTGTTTGTGTATGTGCGTGCAATCGTATGTGCGAGAGAGAGAGAGAGAGAGAGAGAGAGAGAGAGAGAGAGAGAGAGCGAGAGCGTGCGTGCGTGCGTGCGTGGGTGTGTGTGTGGGGGGGGGGGGGGGGTAGAAAGACAGTATGGGTTGATACACATATACATCCAAGCTCTTTTTGTACCATGTTCCAAAGAGAAAACCACTATTGCTGGGCGTTACAACTTTTGACGACCCTTATATTTCATGCATGTTTGTCTGCACTTGTTTGTTGTATGTTGACTCACACACAGGTCTAGGTGGTGATCACATGAGCACTAAGACACTGTGTATGTCAGCAAAGAACTACAACACCACTCAGTACAACATGCACAGCCTGTACGGATACTTTGAAGCCGTCGCCTCAATGAGGTAGGTCTGGTAGGTCTGTGCAGCTCAAGCTGCACTCACAGTGCTGCTGTTGTTTGCCTATTTCCTACAAGGAACTTTAGTCTAGTGGTTTGCTCTCATCATGCCAAGTGGCTAAAAGTTTACTTGAGATACAGTCCATCTTCTCATAAATAGGAATGCCCACTTGACTAGGAATCCCTGCCAAGACCATTGGAAAAATAAAGGCCCCTCTCAAGTAATGGCCATCCTGACATAGCTCAATGGTGCACCACTGTAGTTGCTCACATCAGGACTTAATGATTGGAATACAGATAGGAAGGTATTAAACTGAAATACTAATGCCCTGTAAAGGTAGGCATTGAAAAAACAGAATTCTCCAGCTTCTAGTGGAGTGATTATGGTACTAATAATTGTAGTCTTGTGCGCATTCCAGAACGTGGTCGTTTCGTCCACTGTTTGCCTATTTTCGGCTATTGCTCAGGTGCTCTTTCTTTTGCTTGTTTCGGTATTGCATTGGTTGGTCGCCAGCCTGGTGTGAGTTTACATGGGTGGAACAGACTGGTGTGCTACATCTGGGTGGCTGAGGCACTTGCTTCTACTTCTATAGTACTTGTACGAGCAGGAGCGCTGCAATTGATCATTGAATAGAATATGCAACTAAACCCAAAGGTTGCAAGTATCGACGCAAACACACACACACACACATTCAGTCAAATAAGGCACTTGTCATAATAATATTATAGTATCCGAACATTTTCGTTCCCTTCTCATCAAGGATCGTACAGGGAATGGCTCAAGTATGTAGAGTAAAGATAATGGGATCACAACACCCGTGATAAGGTGGACATTTATCAAGTTCAGAACGACACAAATGTCGAAGGAATATCGTTCGGATACTATATCATAACAAGTGCCGTATTTGACTGGATGTGTGTGTGTGTGTGTGTGTGTGTGTGTGTGTGTGTGTGTGTGTGTGTGTGTTTGCATCGATACTTGCAAACTAATACCGTATTTCCCCGAATGTAGGTCGCACCTTTTTTACACTACACTTCAAGGGCTAAGAAGGGGGTGCAACTTATAATTGAGTGTGACTTCCTGCGTATGTGAATGTATTGAAACAATTTGGCTCAGACCTGAAAATGGGTTGCGACTTATAATCGGGGAATACGGTATTTACCTTCGTTTGGAAATCATTATCCACCTCCAACCTCCATTAAAAAACACCAGTTACCGTAACAACGAACATATATTAAAGAAGAAAAATATATTAAAGCACATGTGCATATAAGTGAATTTTTGCAACGAATCCAATTTTCAAAAGTGAATTGTTTTTCACCTAAACGCTCATGCGCGATCAGAGTTCGTTTGCCGGAGTCTTTGTGTTTGACTAGGTCTTGTAGTGTCAGTTTCATGGTTCCTGTATACTGTTTGCAGACTTGTATCCGTGATTTTGTCAAAGTGAGAATTTTGGTAGTGCTTCGCCTATAGGAGCATGCGCTTATAAGTGAGAGTGCGCTTATATCCGAATACAGGCACATGCGCCTATATGTCCGTTACTACGGTAATAAAAAATGGCAATGAATAAAAATCTGTGCACTAAAAACGTTATAAACACCTATACAAATTGATAATTATTATCTCCGGGAACGTTTTCTCGTGACTATCATCAGTGGAACCTCATCACATAGTATGTAAGAACTACTTCGAAGTAAAACAAACAGTTGTAACAGTTATAGCTAGAATGGTTTCGCAAATAGAGCATGAAATATAGGAGGCAGGAGCTTTATTCATTGCCATTTTGCGGCGTTTGTCTCCTCGTCGGTAAAAAATAGAAGAAAAAGGATGACCAAAGGGAGGTCTCTCAGTAATACCAGTTTGGTGGCCTTTGCAAAGACAAATATTCACACGAAATGTTACGTGCTGTCTGCCCTTCACCTGCCTTTGCCGAGTAGACAGGGTCTTGGTTCCTCGGTGTCAGGGTGTCCTCGATGAAGTCATGGCTCAACTGAACTTCAACAGCCTCCTGTTCAACATGTCAATCAGTGTGTGATTCTCAGGAATTATGCAAAACTCAACTAGCATAAATCAGATTTGGAGCAAATTCACAACCTTGCGTATGAGAATTTGCCACCGAGCCTTCAGCCTACCGAAAGCACATTTCACGGGGCGCTTGTCCATCGTTCTCTTGGTCTGGCCAGGGCAGCATGTTGTTTCTCAAGTTCTGACCAATGCCGTAGACAAGGACATAGCCGAAGTATGCAGGCTGAAGAAATCGTTGTGTATGTCATGACCCGGATCGGACACACCAGGTACACGGATAGTTGAAATTGCTGTCTGCACGTACACCAGTTTGGCTGCCTCCGCGATTGCGGCATCGGCCTCTGCCGTGAGGTTTTCTCGTGCAGCCTGGGCGGCGTCTCGAGCGGCGAGAGCGTCAGCAGTCGGCTGACTTGACGGCACATGATGGGCAGCGGATGGCGCCCGGGAGCGTTTGGGCAGCGGACCCTCGTCTATGGCTGACGCACATTTCTTCAGTGCATTTAGGATGGAGGTCAACCCTCCAGCCAGCGCTCGGAGCTTCTGAGCTTGAGGAAACCGGTTCAGAGCTTCGAATGTCCGACATGTACATTGAATAGTGCTTAAGGACAAAGTGTTACCATGCCATGTTGACCAATGACCACACGGCTACACTGCAGACATTGCTTACTGCAGTGCAATGCTGTGCACAGAACCGGGCTAACAACAGTCTTATGTCCATGAAACGCCCCCGGGCATCGCAAACAGCTTGAACGTTTAGCAAGAAGAACCGTTTATAACAGAAGAAATCTTGCGGATTTTCTCTCATCTTCAACGGATGAGGGAAGTAAATACTTGGATTAATCCAGGGGCCGAGCTAGTGCACAATTGCTCTGCACACGTCATTCAGCACTAGCGAGAGCGTGCAGCGAAAAACACCCAAAGGTATTGGTGGTTTGCTTGAAGGACCCACGTATCTGCAAGGTAGTAGAGAGTTGATTTGTGTACAAACCCAAGATCCCGGGTGCAGGTGGTCTGGAGTTGCACAAATAATCACCCACTTAGATCGGTGTCCCCCCCCCCCCCCCCTGACTTTCACGTGGCACCAACCTTAATTTTACGCCATGTACATGTGTGTTCTGCTGTGTTGAAGTGCTCTGAAGACAGTGCTGAAGGAACGCAGTATCGTCATCTCGCGCAGCACGTATCCCAACAGCGGGGCACACGGAGGTCATTGGCTGGGAGACAATAATAGCAACTGGCCTGACTTGTATCTATCTATTCCAGGTACCGTATTTTTCCGGTTGTAAGTCGACCTTTTACGACTAAAAATAGAAGGAAAAAGGGTGGGAGTCGACTTACAACCGGGATTCGACTTATAACCGGGAACTATCAGTATCTTACAAAAAATGACCTGCACTGCATGCACGAGTGCACCATGTGAACACATTTTGCCAGTTTAATGGCATTTTTCAAGGATTGGGACGTTATACCCCCCAATAAATAATGTTTACATGATTTGTTGATGTGTTAGTAGCAGGGAGGGGTTAGTAATGCTTCGTTGGGTGAAAACATTAAAACGCAGAATTGAGACCTCCAGATACGGGGGTCGACTTATAACCGGGGTCGACTTACAACCGGTAAAATACGGTATGTGTACAATGACATGTACGTTATAGTGTCATGTCTGCTTTTTTTCTTTCTTTTCTTAAAAAAAAACAATAATATATCGGGGTATATTTTTGTAAGATAAAACTCTTGAACCCACATACTCGTATTACCGATCACTGCACCAATCACCTCGCAATCTTGCCCGTGCCCTCCTCTGTCTTACACTACACTACTCAAACAGTGCGCATGCTGCATTTTGACTTGTGCTCACCTTGCACCCATAAGACAGTGTGAAAGTCGAAAGGTCTCTACAAGTAGTGCTCTACGTGATCTGTTTGCTGACGAGTTGCCTTGTGTGGTGTGATGTTGTCCATGCAGGTGTTCTTCTATTCAACATGTTTGGAATTCCTTTGGTAAGTCTATTCAATATGTTTAGAATTCCTTGGAGAAGTCCATTCAGGTGACACCCGCCTCCTCGCACACACAGGCACAGACTTAGTAAATCCTTCTGCCCAAAAGCGGGTGACAATCCAGAGTTGGACGTTTTCTTCCGTAGCCACCTTGAAGAGAAGATGCTCATTGCATACATGATTGTAAAGCGAGTCAAGTTTATTGTTTTCTCGTCCTAATTTTTGTGTTTCTCTTCTTGTCTTTGTACATTGTGACTATCCTAGGTCGGTGCTGACATTTGTGGCTTCGGTGGCAGCACCACTCCAGAGCTGTGCACTCGCTGGATGCAAGTGGGTGCCTTCTATCCTTTCTCTCGAAATCACAACTCCATTGGAAGTCCAGTAAGTAGAGTTTCCCCCCGAGCGTATGTCATCTACAAGGATTTCTGGCCCCGGTGACTGGCGTTGACGTTAGTACGCTATTTAATTCAGTGTTGAAGCCAGGAGTGTTGCCTACCCAATTGTCAGGCGTTTTGCCCTCTCGATTGTCAGGTGTTTTGCCCACCCAATTGTCAGCCAGGATGCACCACGTTGCTCAGTCTGGACAGTATCTTAATTAGATGTGTGGTAGTCTCTCCCAACTGGCGCATGATTAGCTGATCCGGTACTGCTTACCTTCCTGCATTATACAGAGCCAATTGAGCACTTCTGAACGTAACATTAGCTTTCTGATTTAATGCCTTGTACAGCCCCAGGAGCCATCTCACTTCAGTCCTGAGTATGCCGATGGTATGCGCAAGGCACTCTTGATACGCTACTCATTGCTGCCCTCTCTCTACACTCTGTTCTGGCAAGCCCATGCACAAGGAGCTACTGTTGCGCGGCCACTTTTCTTTGAGTGAGTTGAGCATTGCCTCAGTGTTTCGCTTGCATGCGTGTGTACGTGTGTGCATGTGCGTGTGTGCGTGCATGTGCTGTGTGTGGCTGAATGTGTGTGTGCGTGCATGCGTGCATGCGTGCGTGTGTGTGTGTGTGTGTGTGTGTGTGTGTGTGTGTGTGTGTGTGTGTGTGTGTGTGTGTGTGTGTGTGTGTAAAAGAGAGAAAGACAGACAGACGACAGAGAGAGACAGAGAGGGAGAGAGAGCTGGGTTGTTATTGCTTACTGCCAGAACTGTTTCAGATCATAGGAATTGGCCTGTGTTAGTGCTTGAACAAAGAAGAAGAAACTAACTTTGAAAAGATGGAAATGTTATGTATCATGCTAACAAATTCAGGGCACTCCACTCTGTACCGTAAAATTCCGTTAATAAGCCCTGGGCGTATACTTAGCAGAGGGTCAAAAACCGGGCGTATATTTGGGCATGGGCTTATTTTAGGGCATGGGCGTTATTTCGGACGCAATCTGCAGAAGATCAATCTATCAGCAACCCACTAGTTTCAGTGAACTACCATTCTCACTGAGCGCGGTACAGGTACATCAAACCACAGCTGGAAATTTGGTCGTAACCAAGAATGTAGCGATAAATTACAGATTTGATATGTAAACCACTTGCTATATAAGTACAAGGCACAACAGGTGCCGGCATGTACGCGAACGCACGCGAACGCGCTGGTCATTTTGAGTCCACTTTATGCCCTGGGCTTATTTCGGGCATTGGCGCTAAAACGGACTTGAAGTGTACACCGCCTAAAACTGGGCTTATTATCGGACATGGGCGTTATTTAGGGTGGGCTTATTTACGGAATTTTACGGTATGTCTGTGTAGTATACGTAACATGCACATAATTATACATGTACCTACTGACCTTGGCACTGTGTGCAGAAGCTTGTTTACATACTCTTCTCATCTGTAGCAAGTGCATGTCTTGTGGATTGTTGACGCATAGTCGGTGCTGTGGTTGTTTGCATGCAGATTCCCCAAGGATCCTGCAACACTGAGCATTGACAAACAATTCCTGTGGGGCGCGTTTCTACTCATCTCACCTGTGGTGGATGCTGTGAGTACTGTGCATACATTGGTACCAGTTCTGCTCACACCTCTCATCTAGTAATGCATCTTGGTGTGATCCACTCTGTGGCTCAATACAGAGCGCAAGCTTGTGCACACACACACACACACACACACACACACACACACACACACACACACACACACACACACGCACGCACACGCACAACGATGCTAATGAAGAGTTTGTCACACTGAGTGGGCTGTTGTTGTTGTTGTTGTTGTTGTTGTTGTTGCTGCTGCTGCTGCTGCTGCTGCTGCTGCTGCTGCTGCTGCTGCTGTTGTTGCTTTCGTCGTCGTTGTCGTTGTCGCTGTTATTGTTGTTTAGACTATGAAAGGAATAGGATGTTTGCCTTTTTTTGCATTGCGGTGATGGATAGTAATGTTCCCCAGCTGTGACAAGTGAAATCCAGACCAATGTACACATTGCAATGCTACAGCTCTCCCTGCACTCGCGCACAGGACCACCAAAATCATGCTGCAGCTCTGAAAGGGACCATCAGTGCAGATTTCACGCTGCCCCAGCTGTACATGCTGTACATGCTGGGGCAGCGTAAACGCTGCAGAACTGGCAAGTGCAGTACAGCCCAGTGATCTCCTGGTGTCCTGGTCCATGAATAAATCTGCACCCTGCAGTGCACTCGTGTTCAGGTTCGTACAAAGAGATCACGTTCAATGCGTACTGAGATTTTCTCGTTCCAATTACGGTAGTTCTCTGAAGGCCTGCTGCCAAGCGTATGTTTGCGCGCCAGACCCATACCCATTTTCTTTGTGTGCACCACAACACAGACGTCATCTTTGTATTATCATCTCAGACAGTCGTAGACTCGAACCCAGACACCTTTTCTCCGCGTGATTTCTCTGTTTTTCACGCGAAGCAGAGCCTCTTCTCATGCTTTTCAATGCTGTGCCTGTGAATGCCTGAACTTGTTCCATTCAGGATGAGACATCAGTGAAGGCGTACTTCCCTGCTGACCGCTGGTACGACTTCTACACGGTATGTGTGTGTGTGTGTGTGTGTGTGTGTGTGTGTGTGTGTGTGTGTGTGTGTGTGTGTGTGTGTGTGTGTGTGTGTACTGTGTAGTATGTAATTCTACACAAACATGTGTATTCTAGGTGTATTAAAGTTTCGGTGTCTGGGACCTAATGGGCTTCAAGCGTGACTTAGAATTTGGTGGCATTCCATTCACATACAGTGCATACTCTAGTTTTAGATGTAATCTAGATCTGAGTGTCTGGTTAACCCTTTATTGGCCGATTTAAAATATAAGCAAGCCCACGCAATAACCAAATCTGTACCTAAATTGGACGTAACTTTAGTTTGCACTGGACAAATTCCACGATCTTGGGCATCCTGGAAAGGCCTTGACGAGAGGAGCGCAATGCGCCTATACTCGACTCCACGGGATGCACTGGCCCAGAGCTGCAAGCCAGGGAAAGCGCACCAGCGCTGGGCTCACGCTCGAGATCGATCTCTATCCACCATTTCACTCCTGTTGCTCATATCAAACTAAAATATTTCGTAGAGACTCCCGGGAACCTACTTTTGAACTTGAATCGGTGTAGCCTTGTCAATAGGTGACGTAAGCAGGGAAATCCCGGCCGTTGACCCACGCATCTCCCTCTGAGCGCAAATTTCCCTGGACCAACATTACGAGTGCAATAACTCAAGAACCGATTTTCCTATCGCTTTGGAAATTGTTCGAGCCGACAGCTGAGAGTTTTCTCTTCGACCTACATATTTCGATCTCTCCAAAATACCCAGATTTGACCAAGTTACGATAATTTCAAAGTGCCTACCCCATCGAACATCGGTGTTCGATCAATGTATGGGCGAGCCAATAAAGGGTTAATCTACCGAAATTACAAAAAAAATTAAAAATTACAGCAAACACAAGGTGACACTGGTGGGCGGGCAGCTGCTATTCAGCTCCTATTTGAATCTTCTGGTGGGATTGCTATGGTTTGCACTGCTGTTGTTCATGTACAACCAGTATAGATTGCTATGATTTGCACTGCTGTTATTCACGTACAACCAGTGTTCTATGCCACATCAACCCTGATGTGATCCTATCATTGGTATTTGGAATAAAGCCTATACATTGATATCCTATTACATGTATATCCAAGATAGTGTTCAGAAACTGTCAAAGGCTTTCTTACTTTCTTACTTGGCAGAATATCCACACTGCTGTAACGTTCGGTGTGCCTTGTCGTACAGGGTGCTGGCTTTGACTCCAAGGGCGAGAGTCGAACACTAACCGCTGAGCTGGACGCGATCAACCTGCACTTGCGCGGTGGTTACGTCACAATAAAGCAGGATGCAGGACTTACGACAACGGCCAGGTTTGTTTGTTCATATGATATTCTAGTTTTACTATTCACACTAGGATTGTATTTTGGCAACTTTGCGGCGGAAATCAAGAGCAGCTTTTCATTTTGAAGACTTTTAATGCTAAACGTGTTGTGAAATGAGCAATATCAATGAGCAATATCGATGAGCATGCACGTTTGAAATACACACAATCATAGTCATGATCAATTAATAATGTTGGACCTCTCACTCAGCAAAAGCTCTGTAGAATTCATGCTTCCATGCAGGAGCATACACCGTGTAGTCAGGACTACGCTCATACAGTTCTGGCCAACCTCATGAATAAAGTAGCGCCGCGTTCGAGTGCACAGAACAGTGTATGTAGTGCTAAGGCTGCGTAGCGCCCAGCGCTATTTTATTCATGAGATTGGATTTCCCTGGCCAGTACCGTAGTGCTGCCAAATAATTTTCGCCCAAAATCGGACACCCTTCATCGCCAAGGCTGGCCACATGGTGCGAATTTTTCTCCTCAGCAATTTTTTTCCCGGAGAATTCAAAATACCGCCCAAAATACCATGAAAATTCGCTCCGTTGTCA